ATTCCTGTACTTTTTGCCCCTTCTGCAGTCCAAGTAACTAAAATTTAAAACAATACCAAATCACCAACAAATGTAAGGAGGAACAAAGAGAGGGTTTTTCTTTTTTATGATGACTACTTAGAATTATGTTGAGATTATTGGAATTCCTTACAAAATCAATTATAAAATTTAAAATATTTTTTCTTACTTCTTTCCCCTGATGCCTCTGGTATGCTGGTAATGGGTAATCCTGCACTGGTTTGGCATCAGAGTTGAAGATGTGATTACGTTGTTTTTCTCTTCTGCCTTTTACTAAAAAATGAGCTATCAGAATGCCCTGGTGTGGCTTCAAGTTCTGTTTTCTTTTTATTCCCAAATTCTGTGCGTAGCATACAGGAGCTCTAATAATATACTTAACCAGTTTCACTTCGGGGCAATTATCCCTTTTTAGCATTCTAAGCTATGGTTAAATTCTCCTAAATGTAGCACAGGGACAAGGAGCATATATTATCTCTCTAGGTTCTCCTTGGTCCGTATCCATTTCATTACATGCCAAAAGGAGCTTATAGTGTGGAATATTTAGAAAATATATAAATAGTTCAGGATAAACGGCTCAAAATAAGGCCATGGCTCCTTACTTAAATTAAACAACATTTTTTGCTTAGCTGTTTGCTATTGATTTCTTGAACTTAAGAAAGAAATTATATTTTAATAAGTGCTGAAATAATTAGTTGCAAATATTTAATAAAGTGAAAATACAAAACCTAACCAAAACCATTTATTTTCTTATTCTCTGAGGTTGATGTTTATATTTAATACTGTTAAAAAAAAACATGCAATAAGTATAATGAAAAGGACATTTTAAATAATAAGGAAAATTTTAATGAAAAATTCAACACATATTTTCCTAGTTAAGGTTTATCTTTCTCTAATATCTAAGATGTTACAAATCATTTTTAAAGTTGCTATTCTTTTTTTAAAAAATCAGTAACTTAGAATAAACAAACACTGCTTTCCCTAATTACACCTGCACTCACCACCCCCATTGGACACATGATTTCATTCCATAAAATAAGTAAATTTTGTTGACTATATGTACATGACAACATAGTAGTATCAATATGTAAAGATAACACACCAAGTAGACACAAAATAATTTATATCTCCTGCTTAAATAATTTCTGATTGCTTATATCAGTCAGTAAAAATTAACTGGAGGTCATAAATATATACCTCTTCTTGACATTGGTAAAACAAAATGGCTCCCACAGCCGATTTGTGGGGAACACAGAGGATAGTCTCTATCACTTAAATGAGACTAAGTACCGAATACGTGAACCATTTTGAAATTTGTTGCGGTATTTCTAAAATGCAGGTGGCTTATCTAACATGATAGATGCTGAATGTTATTAATTAATTAATCAATCAATACATTGCCTCAAGGCTCGTGCTGACATTTAGGTCCACGTTAACGATTCAAAAGTAAGTCCCAGAATAGCTTCAGAAGGAGAATATATTCTGCCAGAGAAGCAGAAACGGGTAGGTCTTGAAGTTGTTTCCCAAGGTCCTCTGGGACTTGGGACAGCCTCTAGAAGCACTAGTTTCAGAAAGGGGAAGAGTGGCTCGGGAGCATCCCTGCTCAATTCACTAGTCAGGCAAAGAACGAGAGCTTACAAACAAAACAGAAAATAACTTTCCCAGACCGGGGAGAGAAGAACCCTTGGCATTCCTGAGGAACAGCTGTTTATGATAATAAACTAAACTGGGTGAGCATTTCTTAAGAAGAAATATTTAATTATCCTGCTCACCATTATGAGGAACTTCTGCCACTCTTCAGGTTATTATACAGTAAATAACCATTTTTCTAAAGGACAGAGCTGTTTTAATTATATGACAATGAATGCATAATTATTATGTTTGTTAGGAATGAATCACAAGACAACAGACTTGATATTGCTGCTCTGGTTAGTGCATCTTAATTACTTTTTCATTTATTTTGCATATAAAAGCTATTTGCTAATTGTCTTTGCTGTAAATATGCAAAATATAATTAGTCATTCATAATTCTTTATGTGTTATCTAACTGTACATTTGTTTCTGAGGAACATATATTAAAGTGTGAATATTTAATGAGCTTTTCTGTGTGTGTGAATTCTTCTTCTTTTGACAAAGTTTTAAGTAAATATTAGGCATGTAACAGTTTTAACCCTATTCTTAGGGAAACTTGCTCTGAAAACAAAAAGAGAGACTGGAAAATACAGAGTTATGGAATGAGGACCAAACTGTGTGGAATTTTAAAAAATCTTCCATGTGAAGATACTGATGATGACAGGGAGTATCTCTTATTAAGCCTTTAAATTAACCTTTTAGATAATCTCCCAAGCTACTCAGATAAATCTTTGAGCATTACCCATTTCAATTTAAGTTTTTACATATTTGTGTGGATACTTACCAGAAGGAGAAAAGAAATCCATGGATGTGCTTATTAAACATGCCTTTTTAAGTGCTACCAATAGATTGCTTACTGTATCTGTTTAAAACACTGGGCAAACGCTCTCAAAATTTTAAAATCTTAACTATGAGTACCGTATAAAATCTGTGTGAGCGGCAATGTGAGAGTTTTCTTCAGTAAGGTCATTTTTGTGCGTGTGAATAATGTGGATGTTCCATAGTGGCATCTCAAGAGTGAACCACACTGACCAGTTTTTCAGCCTCGGGCGCAATTTTTTTTCCCTTTTTTTCTTTGTTGGAAACAGAACTTGGGCTACTTTCTCCTGTGGTTATCACTACTCAGTAGGAACTAACGTTGCAGGGTATGTCTTAATGCACTCAGATTCATTACAGTGACTGACTGGTTAAATGGACCACGTGCTTTCAAAATTGTGCAGATATCAGGCACATCGACCAATGATGACAATTTTTCTTTTCACTTGTCTCCATCAAATCCTGCCCGTCCATCCTGCTGATGCATGTCACATTCCACTTTCTTCACCTCAAACATTTGATTTACTAACCGGTTGTACTGTTAATCCCATGTCATGACACTTCTATTCACTTCTGCTTTTCAACTGAAAGCAGCTTCCTATGAAGATAAAGCTAGGTAAAATCTATTGTAAAGAGGAGAATAACTTGAATGCAGCTATCATATCAAAATGAAAACACACTTCTGCTCTCCTCACCCACTAGACATCCTGAATACTTTTCTTAATGATGAAGTCAAATAGGATAGCGGAAGAGAATACGACCGATGATCTTTTTTTTTTTTTTTTTTTTTCCTTCAGAAGTAATCCTGCTCTGTAATTCTGTAATTGTTCTTATTTATGTTTGGCAAATCTTTTTAAATGAACATATATAAAACCAGAATGATGGCAGGGTGTGAATGAGAAAAGAACTAGTAAACATGCTTTGGAAAATTGTGATATGAATACATTATATTGATTCCTGTTTATCACAAAAATATTTCAAAGTCGCTTCAAATAAGGCTTTTTAACCAGCACTCGCAAAAACCGTAACTGTTATATAGGGTTCTTTGTTTTCATTGTGAGATTTTTCTTTTTTGGCTCCTTGAATATTTTTTTTTCTTTTGCCTTCAGAATAGCCAAAAAAAAAAAAAAAGTGAAATATATATTTCAAATATCATTCCACTCATACAGGAAAGTGGTAGGGATAACCCTCTTTCTATCAAAAATCGCAATTATAAACACCTAGTGTCCTAGAGTGAAATGATTTAGTTGGATGAGGTTGTAAAATGAAGAACATTGTGCTAAAAAAATTAATCATTTCACTCTACCATCTGAAATAGTGAAATTCAAATCGATGAATTTCTGTTAAGAGTGATTCATCATACCTTTTATGCATGTGTTGATAACATGAAGTAGGTTTGAAAATTAAATTTCCATTCATGCTACCAAATACCTTCATTATTATAAGGATAATCATAAGAATGATTTTGTTTATAATTTTTATAAACCTATAGTATTCTCAAGTGATTTAAATATATAAGAGTGACCAGAAAATGCAATATGTGTTTTGCGATATGACTAAATGTTCAAAAGAGGCACTTAGGAAGAAAAAAAAATTTAATTTTTCACATTAGCTAAAGTAACTCTGATTGCATTGTGTGGCATGAAAGTATTGAAAACATTGGAAAATTCTAGATTTGCCTTCAATGATGACAAGGATCACTATCTGTCCTTCTTTGCAAGAAGTTCGAGAGGGTAATCACTTAAGGGGCTTTTGGTCTTTCCAAAATAATCCTTATCAAGCACCTGTTTCACAAAGAATCATGTCAGAAAAATACACACAATCTTTCTAGGAGCATTATGCAGGATAAAATTCAGAAGAATGGTAAATGTAAAGAGTGACTGATGTTGAATAGATGATAGGAAAGTAGGAGCCATAAAAGCTTCCTATCGGTGTATTGACCGAAAAATTCCCAGTCTTTGTATCTTTCAAGATTCTGGATATTTTTACGTAGAATTTTCCAAAACATACTTTAATTTAAAGACTTCTTTACAAGCTCTAGGAAAGAGACAATTCCAATCTTGTGGGTTCCGAATTGCACATTGTAGAGAGGAACCATCTCATTGGCCTTAGCCAACTAATTCTAGAATCTCAGTGCCCATTCCTAAAGTTAAAACACTCAAGAAAGAGGATGGGCAATGGCTCATGGAGATGTTGTAATCACATCTGTAAACTTGTGGAGATAATAAATAAAAATTATTGCAATGAAAACCCTTAAGACATTGTTAGAGGAAATATTGCTCATCTAATATTATTTAACTGTTAGAAGGATATGTGTGTACGATGTACTATGTACAATGTATTACACACACACACACACACACACACACACACACACACATCTATTTTCTAACCTTCTTTATAGGGAGATGGTGTCTGATCTAAATCTATCAAATAATGAAATATCCCAATGGCAACCAGTATTTTTACATTGTCTGTTAATTCAAATTTGAAATCAAGAGATAAGACACTAGTTCACTTATCTTTTTTTTTCTTAGGTCCAAGCTCTACGTCTTTTCCCTAACACTTCTAAGATTTTGCAAACCTTTTACAGTTAAAAAATTTTTGTCACATGGTGCCACAATTTGTCCCCTGAGAAATGGTCTCAGATGATCATCTGAAGAGTCAAACTTAAAATATCCGACTTTCTAGAAATAAAAACAGCATCTTCTTCTCTGGCGAACGACAAAGTCTCTGGGCTGGGGGAAAATTGTCCGCCTAAGAAAAAACAAACAGTCCTTCTACTCTGTGTTTGTGTTTGCATGGATCAATTGTGAGACAAACAACATTCATTGACAGTTGCTGGCCATGAGTCTGCCTGTTTGAAATACCTTAGTCAGGAGAAGTACCACAAACTGAACCGAACAATCTCTCACAAAACATCTGCAACCATCTGACCCTGGCCTTAACCTTTAAATCTATCTTTTCATATTCATCTCAAAAGACCTTGTCAATGGCCAAGGAGACTCAAGAAAAGGATTCTTCAACAAACAAAAAAGATACAGAGGAAATTCAACCCAGATTAGGTGGCAGAAGATAATACAGTTTGCTCATTTTTATTCTGCTGCTCAAACTGGAGTTGAATTCATTTTCACTTTATCTTTATTCATGTTATTTAAACATAACATTCATTAGGATTGTGAACTGCAACAGATAGAAGAGAACAAAACTACTCGCCAAATTTGTTGGGCATCTGTTCCCACTAGAGGCGGCCCTTTGCCAGCTCCACATCGTGTCATTTTTTTTCCCCTGAATTCATTTCAAAGTCAATCCATCAGTTTATGAACTGTTTGATCAAACTTGTCATTAACCAAGTGAAACATTTAATTTGTATTAACAAAAATGGGACAAATAATTAGTACAGGGATTAACCATTTTACTTTTTTTTTTATTCTTATTTATCAAATGTGTTCATTGTTGATATAATTTTTTCATGTGACACTATCTGGTTTCACTGGAAATAATGGGAAACATTTTTTTTAAATGAAAATACTTACGAACTGATGGCCATTAAAAGAAAAAACCATACAAATATTTGGATCTCGCAGCTTCCACCAGTAACTGCTAATTTCGAGTCACCATCGTCATTAAGATTGAAGCATAGATTCCCCAAAGGCAAAGAGAATGAATGAGCCAACTGGCCAAAGACTTATGAGAAAATTACCACGGCTATATCAAGTATCAAAGGAGATTTTATTTTCATGTTTTGAATAAAACTAACATTTCCTTTTAGCAGCCAACCATACTCTTAACAAAATGGCATACGTAACTTACCACAGAGAGCCCTCCTCCTCCCTACACTCGCCTGCAACCTTTATTTCAGGTTTTCCATCCCAAATTGCTTTTTACATAACACATGAATTAGAAATGGAACGATTGCTGTTGGTTGGGAGTTTTGCTCTCGGGAAAACTCTCTTAGTCATCATCTTCTGCATTTGCCATGACCGTGACCTCATTGGGCACTCGTCGGCCTAGCTATGACAATTTGTTAATGAACTAGTTTTGTTTTTAATTGCTTACTTAATTATGGAGCCCCGACATAATAGCATTTCTAATTTGTATCATAATTGCATGCAGAGATGAAATGTTGGTGTCTATCATATGCTTGCTTCTAATCATCTCTTGTTCGTGGAAAATTTTCCAAAGAGATATCTTCTTTAATATGATGATGTGGTACCAGTCATTTGAAATGTGTTCCTCTTAAATGCAATTGTGTCCCTAAACTAATTTCAATCTTTCTGTCTCTATGCGTGTATGTGCATGTGTATATGTATAAATATTTATAAATATAAAGTTATTTAAATGTTTTCTACTTTCAATGAGCTAAAAGTGCATAAACATGAAAAAAAAAAAAACCCACAAAAACCTGTCGTTGCCTAAACAACAAACATCGGTATTTTGACGGTATCTGTGATCGTGGCGGTTTTTAAAGAATAGTTTTAAAAATAGTGAATTTAAACCGTAGGAAGTTCTCCTCACCACGGCGTTAGTGTTACTGCCGCTCTGTAGAATGTCTAAGATACGCCATTGGTGTGTGTTGTGCAAACCCGTTTTCAGTATGCTCCGAATCCATCAAGAGAAATTGTAGGCCATCGTTCTTTAAAATCAAATCACTAATCTAATAACTTCTTTCTTGTCATGACCTAAATTTGAAAAATGTAGAGAAATAAACCGAGTCTCTTGTAAGATAGAGAACACGTGGAAACAAGGCTTCAGAAAGGAAGTCATGATAGAGGCCACTGAAGTCACCATCGACCTATGTCCTTCTCAGTGAATTTTCTTCTGTACAGTTAGTTGCCCGTGGAAAAATATATTCAATGCAAAACATTAGTTATGGGCCTAAAAGCACAGTTCCAAACATGTGTCACTGACGTATGTTTCCCCCCAAAAATACAACTATTGGCCTGTTCATTGTCATCTACACAAAGAACTGAGTCCTAAAATCCTTTACTCAACTAAATTCTTAATAAGTAAACTGAGACTAACCCTCTAATACCAGATTTGTTAAACAACATGATTTAGGTCCTTGCTATTCATGCACCTCGTACAACTAAAATGACTGGTAAAGCTAGCATCATGAAAGAGTCATTTTATGTAGCTGCTAAATTCCTCTCAAATCTCCTTGCAACTTAACGAGTAAAGAAAGCTCCATGTGTAATGCCGGCTAATGTGGTTTATGCTAGAAAATAGTATCAACCTATCTTTGTAGCTTATCTAAGCCAGGATAATACTTTTAGCCTTTATAGTAGACCCAACTCCATTTTTTCAACTCTTGACTATGTATTTCCTGAAATCCTTTTCCAAAGAGTTAAATTGGATGTGAAATCTGTACTAGGCTATGGAGCTGTCTTTGTTCTAAGTCTCGCCAGCAAAGCCTTGCCTCTGTATCACTTTCATTGCGTTCTGATTGAGCTTGACAGTGTGACAGGAAAGCAAAGGGAGGCAATTCCAAACTGAATGAGAGTCTTTTTCAGCCACACAGCAGCCTCCTCCTTAGCCCCTAAGAAAAAGAGGTAACAGATGCCGATAGCAAAGCATCCCTAACAAAGTCCTAACTTTGATGCAGGCAGAAGAAGAAAAAAAAAAAAAAAATGGAAAAGATTGTCTCAGTGCAGGAAAACCTTGAATGGAACACAAAGGAAGCAACATGAGAAAAATTGCAGTGCAGGAAATGGCTGGGAGAGTTAGGTAGTGACAGTGCATTTAAGAAATTATTTTCCTCTTAAAAGAGGTTAGGATCTTCAAAAATCTGCCCTGCCAGGTATGGTGCAGCCAGAATGTCTACATTATATGGGGCCCGATGCTGTGAGTGCTTGGAGGATGTTCCTGGGAACTAATGCCCTGTCCCTTGAGTGGAAAGTGACACTGTGAAGAAAGCCACCTTTATAGTTTAGCCATTACCTTTGTACACCGGGCAGTGGACTTTCTCGGATTGAAAAAACAAAAAGATTAGTAGTTATTATCATTTTTTGCTTCAATATGTTCTGTAATTAAATGGGTTGGTGCATCGCCTGCCTTACGCCGCTTCATACTGTCTTAAGGATCCGCATCTAAAGATCTGGTCTCATCAAAGAGTGGCTTCCGAGGGTACGTTGAACTCTGGAAGGGAACTATGATTAGTTGCGTGGAAAAATTTGTTGTAAGATAGAAGTACTTAGAATGCTTAGTCGTTCTTACTTAAAAAGGAACTGATCCTTGTGGCAAGAGCATGTATCAAAGTAGACAAGGTCTATCCCATTGGATTGGGCATCACTAATGCCCATATAGTGCTGAGCCCATTGCTAAGATAAAGGCTGGGAAGCATGAATGATCCCCTTGCGTCCACATACAAGGCCTGGGTGAGAGCACCAGGTCCCAAGAGTTTGTAGAAAGAACTCACTTCTTTGGTGGTAGGAGTGGAAGACATAGAGGAAGAAAGAAGTCTCATCGTTCTCTTCTCTGCTTTTGTCCTCATTTGTTTTCAGAGACTAAAATAAATAAATAAATAAATAAATAAATAAATAAATAAATCAGGATCACTATGATGTGAAGAATAGTGGGGAGCACTTACGTGAAGAATTCCTTTCTCGATAATCCTCTGGCTGACGTGCTTGGTGAAGCTCTGTGAATTCAAAGCTCAGTGCCATGATGAACTTCCCCTAAGGAGTCGTTACTGGCTCCAGTGACATCTGTATGGTCGTGGTGCAGTGGTACAAATACTATAAACATTGGTCCTTATTGCGGGAGAAACGTGCATGGCCCTGGTCTAGTACACGGAACGCATCTGTTTTATGCTAATGTTACAGGGAAGTTTTCTTTTCCTTCCCCTCTTTTAAATAGACTTAATTTTTGAACAACAGTTTTAGGCTCAGGGCAAAATTAAGCAGAAGGTACAGACAGTTCTTAAACACCCCCTGCCTTCACACATGCACAGCCTTCACCACTGTCAACATCACCGGAAGAATTTCTAAAGTATGGATTTTGTGGCATTCTTTTTCCTCTGGAAGCTGGATGGCTAATTTTTTTTTTTTCCTCTCAAATATGATAATGCTACCTTGTCTCAGGATAGGATGTTTAAATTGCATGTACATACTGAATTAAAGGTTAGTTGGAGTCCATGAAAATAGAGCTTGGACCAGGAACATAGTTGGAGCAAATGACAGTTAAGAGCTGTGTTAAAGCTATCTGCACATTTTGCTAGAATTAAGATTGAAAATGTATTGAAGATAAAAGAGATGAGGAAAACGGGAATGACCTGGATTTCTAGAACTCCCAGTTTAACGTTTAAGTGATTATCTGTGCTATGATAAAGCGCAGATAATTATTATGTTGCGTGCATACATTATCATTAAGATACCCAGATCTATAATTCATATATGGGATACTCCTATAGATTAACATGCACATATATATGAGTTCTCATTTACTTAAAATGCTAGGACATTAACAGTGATTTAAATGATCTCTCTCACACTCACGTTCATATACAGGTTATACTATTACATTTGCCAGATAATTAACGTCCTCTGTCTATATTTAACATGATTTGATTTCCTTTAAAGATAGCTAATGAGATAAAACAGGCACTATGAACCAGTTAAATCAACCACCTAATCTTGCACATGAAACATTAAACAGAAAGGAAGCATCTGCAATTAGCAAATTGCTTTGATGTGACCAAATATCTGGCTCTCTCTATCACCAACATTGTGGGTCTAAGTCCCAGATGATCTAGACGTGCTGAATGTAAACATATCAAGCATGCATCTTTTCGTGTAGCTCCCTTCTTGAGGCTGGTAGTTCCATTCAATTCAAAAGAACTCGGGCTCTTCGTCTGAAAGATCTTTATTTCCTTCCTGAAAAAGAGAAAACCGCACACTTCCAAAATGCAGAAGTGTGTCGCATTACCTACTAAGATGCTGAAAATGCAGAACTGTTTAAGGGATGGCGAGGATCCAGATATTATCCTAAAAGTGGATCTGGTTATTGGGCCCATCTAACGTGGATCTGATGGGCTCAGGCAGAAGAACTCACACATGGACTTCTTCTTCAGTGTCTGCTTGATAAAATTCTAGAGTTTACCCAGAATGTGGATGGAGTGGCACAGGAGTGACTGTGGGCAAAGCCATATGGAGAAAACCAATGGACCTCGAAAAAAACTTCAATATGTGAATGTTCATTTAGGAAAATTACTTTTTTACTGAGTGCTGTTGGTCACTGTTCTACGTGCTTTATATAGGTCATCTCATTTAATTGTCTCAAAAAAAAACCCCAACACACATGAAGGAGGTATTATTTTTTTATCACCCCCGATTAACAGATGAGAAAACAGAGGCAGAGAAAGGTCAGACAACTTGTCCACCATCACCCAGTCCCTTGGTAGGTAGTGGGAAACAACTAGAACATACGCATTTTGAAAATCAGCTAGATGCATGGTTGGTTTTGTATGGAGATGTATGGGTGTTCGTGATGTGCCTATATTGAAAGTGAAGAGTTCTAGGTGTGATCACTATCAGGGAAGTAAACCCCCTTCAGTGACTAGGAAAAAGAAAGGGGGCCCGCAGGAACTGAGGGCACTTGACAGGCAGAATGCCAGAGGGTACATTCTAGGTGCCGGGCATACTCATGCACAACACTTTCTTTGGTCCTCTTGATGACACTGGCAGGTAGGTGTTCAAATCTATTTAAAAAATTTAACAGACTTTGTTTTTTAGAGAAGTTTTGGCTTTACAGGAAAATTGTGTGGAAAATGTGGACTTCCCATATCCCGATTGCCGGTTTCCCTTATTGTTAACATCCTGCATTAGTGCGGTACACTTGTTAAAACTAATGAACCAATACTGATATATTATTGCTAACTAAAGCCCATAGTTTACATTAGGGTTCAGTCTTTGCGTTGACCAGTTCCGCAGCTCTTGACCAATGCATAACGTCCTGTATCTACTACTGCAGTATCATACAGAATAGTTCACTGCCCTTCCCTCTGTCGGTTGATTTATGTACTCTGTCTGTAGTTTCGCCTTTTCCAGAACATCATACGGTTGGAATCGTATCACGTGTCGCCTTGGCAGAGTGGCTTCTTTCACTTGGCAATCTGGGTCTCAGATTCCTCCGTGTCTTTCCAAGGCTTGAGAGCTTATTTATTTTTGTCACGGAATCATATTCTATTGGGTGAGTATCTGACAGTTTCTCTGTTCACCCATTTTTCAAAGGTGGAAATGGAGACTCAGG